TTTGGATTCAAGGAAAAGTCAAAACATGAAAGTTGTAGTCCATTGCAAAATCTAAAACTTTTATTCACAAAGTTTCCTCAAAAGAAGCTTGTAGCTCAAGTTACAATTTTTGGAACAAGGGTACCAAACCATTCTTAACTTAGAGAAATTTTGACCTATTTTAGGCAGGATTTTTGCCTAACTTCAAGACCACTTTTCACATGCTTCCACTTGGAATTTCAATTTGCATTACAAAGATGGATTGTAGTACATATTCCAAGCTTTCCAAAATGTCCAAGAACTCATTAAACAACCTTATGGTTAGAGAGAATCGAATTTGGCAATATGGGAAAAACTCACTTTGTTTATGGCCAATTTTCATGTTCATACACTTAGGCAATTTTGAACTCAGCTTGCATTCCTTGATTACAGGTCCTATATCCCATTTGCACTCATAAATTTAATGCTAACTCATTGTGCCAAGGCCTTATTTTGTGTGTTCAAGCATTGTATGCAAAATTAAGCCATAAGTAGAAAAGCATTATGTCCATTTTTGAAAAAGTGAAACTTTATGTCAATTTGTAAATCAAGAGGTACACAGCAAATCTCTTTGGCACAAGTTATTAGGCTAATCCCACTGATCAAGGGCAAGCTTAGCAGCACATTAGAGGAGCCTCCATCAGTCTAAAACAGAACTTGACACTTTGTTGCTTAAGTAAGAAGAAACTTGACATAACATACACCAACTCTCATCTCAGCCAACACAACCTTGAGCAAAGTTATTGTACACATTCTAAACACTAAACCTAAGCTGAAACACAAGCCAACCAAGTTCCAAACATAATCAAGCACAGAATCACCATTAAACTGCACAAAAACAGGGTATTCTGCACTTGGACTTGGCTAGCTCATTTCCATCGTGCACCTTGGCCAAAAACACTTCAAACACATCCCACACCATCCCTTGAAACTGTTCCAAGCCCTAAACACGACCTGTAACACCTCTATTCAGTTTTTCCATTTTCATTTTTTCCTCTTGCAGGTTGACTTCTGCAGCTTGATATAGTAGGTTTCAAAGCATACCAAGCATTAGAATAGCATCTCTGGACATCAAGCAAGCTATACAAATCATTACCTTGCCTTGTAAGCATCTCTATTGTTGCACACGATTCCAACTGAATAGGTAAATCTTTGGACTTCTATCTCTCAATGTAGGAAGAATTAGCTCAAAGTTTGTGAATGAAAAATGTCATGCTCATGTCCCTGAAGCTACACATATCTTTACTTTCCATTTATTTTGCATGTGCTATGAGAATTTGAGGTCTGAACATTGAACAAAAACTAGGTTAGGAATTGGGGGAGAAGAAATTCTCTCTCATTTCTGAGAGTTAGATTGACTTCTTTATATGTCTAGAATCGTGGCTTCAAGCTCTACAGGTTTCATGTTGCAAGATTTGGCAAATGATCAAGGAATCTGGAGATAGGAAAACGCGCGTTGGTGGTTGTTCAAACAGGTTCTGAGGTTGAAGACAAAGTCTTCTTGGGCTGGGCCTGAGTTGACTTCTTATTTGCACCCCATTTTCACTTTTGAACCCCCTTGGCCCATTGTGCTTATTTGAAACATTTTTTGACTTTTTCTTGTTATTTCTGACTTATTTATTTTTTCTCATAATATTAAAAATATAAAAAATATTTTTCAAACCATTTTGGTATTTATTAGGCATTTATTGGTTTAAATTAATATTTGTACACATAGATAATATATAAATACTCTTTTATTTAAAATACTAAAATAATATAAATACTTTTTATTTTCTGACTTTTGTTTTATTTTATCTTTAAAAAACACTTTTATAAAAAATACATTTTTGTAAATATTAAAAATTATTATTTTTATACATATATTTAGTATTTAGTGAATATTATAAATATTTAGGTATTTATTAATACATTTAGGTTAAAAACATAATAAAATGATACATTTTATTTTTACTAATATTTAAGCTAAAAAATACTTTTTTTTTCATATATTTTCTTTTCATTTATTTTTTGTACATAATTAATAAATATTACATATATTATACAATAAATACTTTTATTTGTAAAATTAGGGTTTTTGCCCTAAATGCATAAAAATACCAAAAATTAATTAATTTTATTTTTGTTTATTTGGTACATGATAAATACTTTTTACATACATATGAAAAACCTTTTTTGCATCTTGCATATTTATTTTATTTTATTTTGAATATTGTGCAATTAAATACCTTGTAAATTCCATGTGGATTGTAATAGTTTAGGGTTTAATTTCTTGCTAAAACATCCCCATTTGAACATTTGTACCCCCATCCCATATATTGTGTTGTAATAACTTAGGACCTTTAAATTCCGTATTTTAAAAGCTTTCTAATTATACCATGTTAGAATCAGGGTTTGTATGCAAATCAATTAACCAAAATAGTTTGACCTAACTTCAAGATAAAAAAGCATGAAAATGGACAACACTAATCACACTTGCACCCCTAGGGTATTCCACTTGTTGCCTTCAATAAATGGGCCATATTGCATGTTAGGTATCATTGGGCTAAAACAAATTCAAATGACCATAGTCCCTCGATGACGCTTTCAAAAGTTGCCTAAAAATGATCAAGTCCCTTAAAGAAAATTGCCCAAAGATACTTGGCACCATTGCAATCATGGTCTAAACGATGACCCGCGCCCGTCCCGTTCACATCCTAACACAAGATTGTCCACCAAATACAATGGTGGAACAAAATTGTTAAAAGGGTTAAAACATAGCAAAGATCTTTGAGAAATTTAGGGTAGATAGCTCTTGACTACTTGCCAACTTGCAAAACAAAACACTTGCCTATTTTTCAAAACACACATCACAACACTTTCAAAACAACTTTCAAAAACATTGAAAACCTTTTCAAAAGACATACACCTTTGTATACATCCCAACATGGATCATTACAAAGGTTGCCACCATATTGGCCTCTTTTCAAAACATTTTCAAAACCCACACACAAAGCACCATTTCAAACAATTGAAAATTAAGGCAAGTTGATCTAAGCAAGTAACTAAGAGCCCATGGATAACCATGGATAGAAAGGGTGCTAATACCTTCCCTTTCTATAATCTACTCCCCGAACCCAAGAAAACATCTCAAAGGTTTTTGCTGTGCTTTTTAACCTTTCCTTAGGATAAAATAAAAAGTCGGTGGCGACTCTTGCTCAACCGAAACATTTGCGAACGCAAAAAACTCAAGCGACTCTTGGTCAAAATGGGTGTGAATGAGATTTCGAAGATACGACGACCTAGTGTCCAAGTTTTGACTTAAAAGGTGTGAGTTTTAAAATTGAGTCTTTTAGGAAAATTAACTTAAGATTAACGAAATAGTAAAAACAAAAAATAAATGAAGGGATTTGCACAATCGTATAAGATGTATTTGATGACATGAAGTCAAAAAATTTAATTCTTTCTCTTGGAACGAATCGAGCAAGAAAAAGAAAATGAACATCAAAATATAAGCATTCAGAAATTCACAAGAAAATAAATCTAACGAAACATATTAATGACCAAAAGGCACCGAGAAATTAAAATGACAAAGATATTTAAATACAAATAAAGAAAATATAACTAATTATCTAAAGAAGTTATTTGAACTAAATTAAAATTTTAAGATTACTTACTAAAATAATTCTAAACTAACTACAAATTCTAAAGTTATAGAAATAATTCTAAAAATTACTAAATTAGATCTAAACTAAACTAAAATATTAAAATTAGTGAATTAAATCTAAAATAAATTAAAATCCTAAGGTTGTTAAATTAGATCTAAAACAAATAAAAATTTCAAAGTTGCTAAACTAAATCAAATAAATTTCTAAAAAAAATTACTAAAACTAAATAAAAATTCTAAAATCATCAAAAATAATTCCAAACTAACTAAAAATATTTCTAAAAATACTAAACTAATTCTACATTAACTTGAATTACTAAAAGGATTATAAACTAAAATATAATTCTAAAAATTAATTATATAAAAAAAATCTGAAACAAAAACATAGGGTGGGAATAGTTATCTCGGATTGGACTATAAAACTATAAAAAAAAGAGCAAGGCTCGGGTTCAATAAACAATTAAAACAAAATAAAGAAATAATAAATCAACAAAAAAAATGTTGGGCTCAAAGTTCATGCAAGAGATATCCTAATTTCAATAATGTATATGACAATAAAAAAGGAAAAGAAACATAAAAACAAGAACAAAACCTGATAGCAATTCCACCAATCTACTTTTGATTTAGTTTACAGGCTTCCAAAGTTATCTTACCAGTACGAACGACACATCGACACGTTCCACCATTACTATTATTATTATTATTATTATTTTTATTATTATTATTATTATTATTTCTTTAAAAAATAAAACGAAGAGAATAGCAACAAACAAAATGAGCACAAATTTTCTATGAGATCTCTCTTTTACTTGTATCTCTTTCTCTCTCAAAAAACTCTTTCTACCAAATTTTCTTCTTCTTATATCTCAAAGATATTTTGGCGAAGCAAAACAATAATCTTTTCTCATATCGCTTAATCACACAAAACAAAAAAACAAACAGAATTAGCAGCATTGAAGAAGTGGCGATCGGATGGTGTCAGCTGAACGGAGAAAGAGATCGGCATCGGAGGTCATATGGGTGGTAGCGGATAACCTCGTCGGCGTCGGTGTATCTGGGCGGTCAGCGGCGCCAAAGGTGCTATTTGTGGTTGATTTAAGTTTCTCGTTCTTGATTTCTTTTCTCCCTGGTCTGATTTTGTTCATGAGTGATTTGTGCAAGGTTTTCATGATTTTTTTGAAGTTGTTCTGAACCACTGGAACCGAAAATCAATGATTGTGATGGAGGCCGGTTGAGTGTGGTAGATCATGTTATTGGGCTCTTCAGAGTGCTGTGCAGTTTCGATATGAACTCCTGATTCTGCCTCTTGTTTTTCTTATATTTTCTCCTTCAGTGAATGGTGACGCAACAAAGTAGCGCGATCGGAGCATTGGAAATAGCGGCAGAATTGGATGTGCATGTGCAACAGTGGTACTGCTGGGATTGGGAAGCCGGTGATACTCTGAGCAGATGCGGTTTGCAGCAGCTATTGGCGGAGTGCGTGCGGTTTCTGCGCGGGTTTCGGCTGAGAATGGAGGGAAGCGGCGCCATGTGGATGTGCAGTATGTCTGAACAGTACTGGCGATGACTTGTTAATGCTCACGAGGTAGATAAAGCTTCATACACAGGTTTGACGACAACCTCCTTCTTTCCTAAATTCAAAGCTTTGCTGGGTTTATTTATGTTATTCAAAATTGATTTGTGAGTTTATTTGGATGATTTGTGGTGATGAGATGCTGTGATATTTTCTTTCTTTCCATGAAGATAAAGAGATGTTAATGGTGAATATCTGAAGATGGGTGAGGTGAAGCTGTTTTACAAAGGGGGTATTACGGTTTGATAGTTGGAGAGATGGAGGGGATACGTTGTACGGGGGGTTTTCTAGATTTTTACTGTATTGTTGTATGGTGTTTTGTTGCAGGGTTGAGAGTTTTTTCTCCCTTACTGTTTTTTTTGAGTTTTTCTTGGTGTATTTCTTGCTGTATGTAGTTGGTTTTCTATGTGAAAAGTGATCTCCTTATGCCTCCTTTTCTGTGTTGATGAGAGCTTAAATTTATAACGGGAATACGGAAGGAAATTGGGGGAAAATTGGATAGGTTTCAACAGATACGGCTAACTGTTTTATGCCTTTCTCGTGCAGGTTTTTGTATATGACCTTTTGGGAAAATTTTGGACAGCAAAGATATGAAAAATACAACATGTTGTATGCGGGTTTTTGGACTGAACTGTTTGGACTAATATGCATGGATGTTTCTGGTTTGGGGCAGCAGTATGGTGGAGTTAGTTTGTGCAGAATTTTTGCTCTTTTGCAGTTGTAGAGAGCAAAGTGCAGCAGGTTGGTGGAGCAGAATTGTAGCAGTTTTTAGACTGAATTGTTTGGACTATTTGTTTGTTTTGTTGCTGCAGGTTATGTAGAGGCAGCATCATATATGACATTGGTTTGGCATATGGTGCAAGACTTTTGGCACAAGTGATTTTGAAGATTTGAAATAAAGTGTTTAGGCCTTTAGTATAGGATTAGAATTTAGGATTTGGTTCCATGTTCTTGTAACAAACTTTGATATGTATCTTGAAATTATTCCTTTGTAACATAAATTGATGGAACTTGAAGTTTGTTTGAAAACTTGGATGATGAACATTGAATTAGAATTGAACCTTTGATTTTTGACTAAATTCTTTCGGATATGAAATACTTGATACAAACCACTTATTGAAAAGAACCTTGAATTTGAAATGATGATGAATTGAGTGATATATGGTTCAAAATTGTCCACATGAATGAAGTTTGATTTTGAAAGTGGATATTCCAATCGTGATTAGCTTGAGAATCTTAAAATGATGAATGCAGTTGAAACTTTGAATCACTTTGAAACTAAAGTCATTTCTCGAGTGAACCTCCAGATCATCTCCGATGAGACCCTAATTCAAACCTTAAATTCAATGGTAACTTGAGATACAAGCGCAAAGTACTTGAAAGAAAAAATAATTCCTTAAGAACATTGGTCAAAAATCCACTCTAATCCAATAATCCCCAATGCTTCAAACACCAATGACTTGAACTAATCAACAAACGATCCAAGAATCTTCTCACTCAACATTTTGTACCATGAACGATCTCAACATAAAAACAAATGTCTTTAGGAAACGATTAGGGCATGAACTGAATTTAGGAGTTAAGAACATTCCAAATCAAAATGTGACCTATAATGTCCCAACAAATCCTATAGCCTTTAAAGCATAATTTGATTCTGATATTTGATGAAAACTTGTAGATGACATCGCTTATGACAATGTGCAAAAAGAATCGTCTCGAAATGTTGAAATTTGAGGAGGTTATGATCGTTTGAACTTGAATATGCAAGTGTTGACTTTTGGTCAAAGTGCTTTGAATATTGAGGAAATGATTAGGGCATGAACTGAATTTAGGAGTTAAGAACATTCCAAATCAAAATGTGACCTATAATGTTCCAACAAATCCTATAGCCTTTAAAGCATAATTTGATTATGATATTTGGTGAAAACTTGTAGATGACATAGCTTATGACAATATGCAAAAAGAATCATCTCGAAATGTTGAAATTTGAGGAATTTACGATCGTTTGAACTTGAATGTGCAAACATTGACTTTTGGTCAAAGTGCTTTGAATTGACTTGCAAACTTGATCTTTCTTCGCATTCCAAAGCATCTTGATGCACATGTGAACCAGTGATGATGAAATCTTGTTTATGCTCTGAGGAAGTTGTGGAGAAGCTTGAGACCACTTATTGAATAAAGCATGGAAATAAACACACGATTTCCCTGATGAATCAATCTTCAAGAATCAACGATCAACTATACTTCTGGCTTGAGAGATTCCAAACCCTAATCGAGGTGTGACGCCTAATGCTCTTGATTCAAATCCGTTTCTTGCAAATGAAATCAAAGAAATAAAAAAAACACACTTCGTTCTTGATTAGAAGTTAGTGATACATAAGCTAAGAATGTTCAAAATACTTGACAATTTCTGCATAGTCAATGCTCGAAGGTGAGAGGTTAAAACCGACCGTATTTCGTGACCTTGACTTCTGTATAAAAATGCAAAAATAAAAATGAGATCTTAGGTCAAAAATTGGGGTATGACAACTGCCCCTATTTAAGTTTCTTCTATCCAGAGATATGAAGATTGGAATCTTCATTTCGACGAGATTGAAGGGACTTAAATATAGAATACACAATTTTTGGCCTTAAGATACCGCAATTATGTTTATGATATGATATGATATGAATATAATATTTTGAATTTAATGAGGAATGATGCCGCATGAGACAAACTACTGCTGGAGAAACCAAGCACATTATATAATAATCCCACATGGGAAGAGATTATAACTCCACTGGGGAACATAGCAACAGACTTCAATTGAGACTCTTATTGGGGTACAACTTCGAGAGAAGAAAAAACTACTGACTCTATCAGAGAAGATGCCTTGCATAGGCTGCAAAAAGATAGATGGTTATTGACCCAAGATGATGTTGAGTTTACAACTCAGGGTCAAAGGTAGACAAAAAGATACACTAACTTTTTCTAATAGTGAACTACCAATTTTTACTGAAGATAGGGGTTTTATAACAAACGTCTCTGCGGGTCTCTTCCGAGAGATACCATTTGCTGCTGAGATGATATATTATTGGGGATACACAAGTTGCTCAAATAAAGAGGTCGCCACTTGCTATCTTCAAGAGATATCAATAATACACAAGTTGCTCATGAAGAGCCACCACTTGTTGTCTTCAAAAAAAATAATACGCAAGTTGCTCATGAAGAGACCGCCGCTTTCTGTTTTTCCAAGGTATCAATAACATACAAGTTACTCATGAAGAGACTGTCGCTTGCTGTTTTTTCAAAGATATCAATAACACATAAGTTGCTCATGAAGAGACCGCCGCTTGCTGTTTTTTCAAAGGTAGCAATAACATACAAGTTGCTCATGAAGAGACCTCCGCTTGCTGTTTTTTCAAAGGTATCAATAACATACAAGTCGCTCATGAAGAGACCGCCGCTTGCTATTTTTTCAAAGGTATCAATAATATACAAGTTTCTCATGAGGAGACCGTCGCTTGCTGTTTTTCAAAGGTATCAATAACATACAAGTTGCTCATGAAGAGACCGCCACTTACTATTTTTCAAAGATATCAATAACATACAAGTTGCTCATGAAGAGACTGTCGCTTGCTGTTTTTTCAAAGATATCAATAACACACAAGTTGCTCATGAAAAGATTTCTGCTTACTGTTTTTCAAAGGTATTGTGATACAATGGCAGAACCGACTGTTAATACTGGTTTTGCATTTTGTGTTCGTAAATGTTGCGGTAAGCAAGAGTCGCCATTGACTTTTCTTTTATCCAACAAAGGAAAGGGTGAAAAGAATAGAAAAATACATTTTTCGAGATTTTCTGAGTAAGGGGGTAGATTATGGAAAGGGAAGGTGTTAGCACCCTTTCTATCCGTGGTTTTCCACGGGCTCTTAGGTACTTGCTCATTTTTGAAAATTCCTTTTGTGTTTGTGTGTTTTGAAAAGGTTTTTGTTTACTTTATGATATCTCTTATATCAGTCCTCAAGAGTGTGATAAAGCGTTTTTTTGAAAAGAGTTTTGAAAGTGTGGTGTAAAAATGAATTAAATTTGAGCAAGTACTTAAGAACTATCTACCTACTCGAAAAAAGGTGTTCTTTTCCTCCTTTCCTTTAAATAGCGCTATCCTACTGTTGTACCCCAAAATTTTCCCTCCCGTGTTTCTCAAGACATTGCAAGAATAACCTCCAAGTGGCTCAAGATTGCTTAAGAGTTGGACAGTCAAGCTATCTCCTAAGGCAGTCAACCTCAAATTAGGGTTTTGAGTTGCATCAAGGTCCTTACATCCAAATGACCTAAAATGCTCCCTAATGTCCTAATATGTTCTCAAGTTCATCCATGTCAAATTTCAAGCCTTGCAGAGGAAGTTTGGCCAGTCAATTGCTCAAGAGGTCCAAAAATCGACTATGTTAGGGCAAAAGTCAATTGTGACCTACAAACAGTCAAACTTCAAGATTTTTTGTCAACATTCTCATTTTTAAGGATATTTCATCATTTGATCAAGGTTTGATCATGATTCATCAAGGATTGCTCAAAATTCATCAAGACTCAAAAGTTGCTAAATTAGGGTTTTGTAGGAAAAGTAAACTCAACTTTGACCAAGCATAACTTTTTCATACTTTATGATAAATGACCCATCCAAATCTCATTTTGAATAGGATGCAATTTCCTACAATCCATATTCATACCCCAAGATCAAGAAATGCACTCACAAGAAGTTACAAATTTGGACATTATAGGTCATTTTTGAAAGTCAACAAAAACACCTTTTTGCCAAAGCTTATAACTTGAGCATGGAATATCAAAATTATATTATACCAAAAGGGTTGGTTAGAGGACATCTCAAGATTCCTAAGAAGTCCAAGAACACTTCCAAAAGTTCAAAATTGAAGAAGTTATGCATTGTTGAAGTTGGGCATTTTTGCAAAATTGCCAAAAGTCAACTATCCCCAAAACTTCAAATTTTGTCAAATGGGCCCATCCTTTTCCACTTGATTTGGTCTTGTCACACTACACACGTGTCCTAACTTCAGCCTTGTGTCCATTTATTAATTTTTCTATTTTATTTTATTTTTTATTAAATTAAATCATTTTAAATCAATTAAAATCAAATAAAATCCAAATATTGATCACTTGGAATCTTTTTGATTGTTATAGGTCTTAATTGTCATCATGAACATGATCAAACTCGTATCTCACCATATCATGAACAAAATATTAGATTTTGGACAAATTTGGAAGCTTTTCAATGGAGGATCAAATCATATCTCCAAACATCAATGCATAAGGATTCAGCCCAAGAAACTTGACCTAATCCAATGCTCATTACATATAGAAGCTAAAGGCACATGAGTTGGAGGTTAGAGGCTGCAAAATCAGAAGAACAAAACTTGGAAAATTGTCAAAAAAACTTGAAACTGAAATCACACCTAGAGGCGAATTCAGAACCAAATCTCAACGCCAATCACTTGCTAGACATCCACTGAGTCAGTAGCAATCAAAAGCAAGCTCCCAGACCCCATCAAACGCGTTGTAAGTGATACGCGACCTCCCTCTAAACTTGCTTTCGTGTTTCAAAATTTAAGCATCATTCCAAGAAACTAATGACATATTTGCAATCACCAAACAATTTCCAAGCTTTCCATGTTATTTGATGGTATTTATCTGACCTATAATCCAAAACGCCATTGAAAGGCTTTTTAGGTTTTTTTTAGGGCTTTCCATTACAGGGACAATTGGCTTATGAGAAGGGTATCATCTTGCTCAGGGGAACGAAACGAGTTCATCCATGGTATCACCTTCCATTTATATGGCCTGAGATGGATTTTGGAATTGACCTATGCTTTTTGCTGCGGATTTAA